CTACGGCAGTGAGAGAACCCACGAGTTTGTCAGTCGTGATGGCAGTCTGTGGCCCCGTCAATACTCCTACATTTCACATATGGGTCTCTTCAGACGCTGTGGCTATCCCATCTACACCAATAACTTCCACGCGCAGACTGGAGAGGAGAGGAGGGAGAACCAAAAGATTGAGGGCGCAATCACCTGGAAGGCTAGCTGTGGATATTATCCGTCCCTGGGTGCCATGCCTCACAAGACCTGGCAGGCGGGAGTAATTATTCTGGTGTTGGCCTGCGCCGTCCTCCTCTTTCTCACCTTTTTCATCCTCTGTGCCGGCATCTCAATGGAAGTCCTCTACAGTCTGCAGATACGCAGAGCCTGTGCCTATGCCCACTTCACTGGAGGTTCGTTGAGTTCGTATGTTGTTTTACATCGTTGAAGTTTTTTTAAGTTCAACTTTCCATGTTTCCAAGTTTAAAACAAGCTCATAGAGCCGGATTTATTGCATTTAATAAACTTAGCGACGGCTTTTCAACTGTTGCATGAGTCAGATAATGGTTAGAAGCATACATCGGATCGAATTTGACAGAAGGTCAGTGTATAGCATCAAGGATTATAGTTCAGTGTAAATAATGACCAACTGAAGGGTGCTACATTCAAACGGCCTACAGCGAAAAAAAGAGGCGAAATAAAGTTGACGCAAAACAAGTCGTGGTTAAAACTAGCTGCCCAATTACCAGGGTAATTGGAGATTTCCCACCTTGTCTAGACGCTTGCACAGGTCGGGTTTCTCCCACTGTACGTAGGCCGTTTCCGAGTAGCGCAGGGGCCGATTTGTTCGTGCCCGAACGAGTACTCGGAAAGATGTTTTGAGGTCAGCAGAGTGACCACTGTCTAGCAGGTGTTCAACAATCGAAGATCGTGGTACTCGGTCTTGTTGCTTGAAAAGGCAGTTTGGCAAGTATTCAGCCGCCCTGGCTGCCAGTTGCCTTTGCGTACGCCCAATGCAATTGCATCTGCAAGCGCACGTGAATTCACAGATACAATTTGGGGTGGCGCACAATGGTAAGGCATCTTTTACCACTTCTACCGGAAGGCTTTTAGTGGGACTGATGAAGACAAGTTCAACTGCGTTGTACCTTCTTTCTATGGTACAACGCAACTGTCGCTTGATTGTATTCGAAATACAATCGACCTTAAAGGGTAGGCATATAATTACAGGCGCTTTTTAAAAACTGACTCTGCCGTCAATTTTGGCCGTAAAGAATTGTTATACTTTTGGATGAAATGTGCAGGATAGCCATGGTTAAGAAGGGGTGCTTGGATGCGGGAAATCTCCGTAGGTAGAGTCTCACTAGAGCATATATTCCTCGCATATGTATATACCCATGACATTGTAGAATTTCGAGAACCCTTCGCATGTGCTGACTAGCCAATTCAACTCAGTGTTTACAGCAAGGAGAGCATCCGTTTTTAGCTTCGTAAACCTGGCGATAAAGACTGGAGGAATGTGATATTATCAGAAATATTGGGACATCGGCAGAATGATCAGCCCCAGTACAATTAATGCTGCTGCGGTTGCCAACACTAGGACTCTATTAATTACTATATCACAGCCATTAATACCACTGTTAATATCGCTACTGTTATCACTACCTGGCATTAATATCAATAAACCTGCTCGTTAGAATGTGTGAGTGTCAGGAACCATTACATCCACCGTGGGCAGCGCACGTGCGATTAGACAGTGTTACGGGGAGAGGAGCCGCGACGCACTTACAAATACCGGGATCATTTTCATGTAAGAATTCTTATGAACTGCGATTCTTCAAAATTCGAGACGGAAGAAAACGAAAGAGGCAGAGTGCCGGTTTCTGAGAGTGAAGACTTTACTCACGACCAGCAGAAAAGAAAGGATTTTGTTAGCTTGTGCACTCCACTCTTATTTATTGGGTCCTGACCACTCTTGGCCTATGGCGCGTGACGGGTGTTTTGGCTTGCACGCTGGCTGAGTGTTTCCCACGCTCTGATGCCCTGTGTGAGCAGTCGTCACGAGAGCTTGAGGCAACAGCGTGCGCCGTTTGTCTGCACGCCTAACTCACCTGGCGTGCACTTGTCGATGCGGGTCGTGACCGTATTATCAAGGCTCCCGTGCCCGTAACAGACGAATTTTATGATAACTACTTCCACTTTGTTGGACGAGAACTAGAGACTGTGCCTAACTACAACTGTTCGGTTCGGTGAAAGACAGAAGTAGAAAATGGACAAAGTAACCTTGCGTCAGCTGTTTGAGGACAAGTTACAGGTTTATTTACTGCGAAAGTGGAATAACGCCCTTGATTTATAATACCTTGGAAAATTCCGCTCGCATGTACCTTGATTGGATATAAGAAAATATTAAAATGACTTTAAGGTTGACTCCTAGTTAGCTTGGCACGAAAAAGAGAATTGCGATGTGGGAGTAGACTTTGGGCAGTGGCCCTCGCTGGTAGTCGTCGCAAGTCACTAGATCAACCATTTCTGTGGAGCCAAATGTTAATCTTCTGAGACTTGAGCTGCAAAGAGTATTTGCATTATGTTGCTTTTCGTTCGGTGGATTTTTGACCAGTGAAGAATCACTGATTCAGCCAGCACTAAAAGTCCTAATTCTTGTCTCATCGACGTTGAATGAGTACTCCTACTACTTCAATCAAAAACTACCATGAGTACGATCATATTAATTATTCGTAAGACACATTGTATTTGGCAAACGTCCGTAAACTCTTGACATAGGGCCTGCTTTTGTACAGCTTAAGGATGGTGCTACACGTGTTGCGTTTTCGGTCTGCTCGAATCTACACTAACTGATGCAGTTCGCCCTGCGGAGTTCCACCGTAGTCAACTGCGGCAGACTGTGTCTTATGCAAATGCCGGGAACAGAAAAACAAAATTGATCCTCAAACTTGCAGCGGCTTTACCAGGCTACTTTTTGGACTCCGGATGTACTCAAATTTTCCAGGACAGCTCACGCAGTATAAGGGTGATCAAGTGCCTATTACAAATAAAACAGCTAGGTATCAGTGTGTGACAGACGACAGTTACCATACATGAGTACTATCCACATAAGACTCGGATCAGCATATAATTATTCATAAGGGTTGCTCATTTCTATTCAACAACAATTAGACGAATCAAAACGGTCAGTCGTGAAACAAAAAAAACGCTTTCCAATGGCCACCCGAAAAAAGTATCGCTGACTAATGGAATACATGCTGTGATGCGTCAACCAATCCGAAATTAAGTATATTTAGCATCACAACACACTGAATGTGCTACTTGAACAGTTGGCGAATGCGTGATGTTTGCGGAGCCTGACTAGAAGATACCCGAGGCGAAATCCGGACGTAATTTGTGGCCTGAAATGTGATGACTGTAAGAGCGTCTGCAACGTGTAGGCCTCCACGTCACCTACGGTCAGGTGCCTGCACGTGCGTGCTAAACTGGGCCCGTCAGCATGCTTTTGCAGACCGCTCGGTCTTTGAAACCGGCAGTGACCTGTCGGCTTGCCGTTCCTGTACTGATGACCTCGTTTACGGACATTTACTGCCTTGCGGCCCACGCAATTGCGAAGCTGGCAGCAAAAGGCAAAGCTGGTTGCCCCACAGGTTTGCCCGTCCTGGCGTCTGTCGATCATTTTTACGGATGGGGCTGTAGTGATAGACTGTATTGTTTTAGGCCCAGCGGTTAGACAAGCAGGCGATGCTAGTGAGAAATCAGGCATCAGTCGTACTCGCTGGATTCTGTCGAAAGTTGCAAAACCCAGCTCCAGATTCTACACAAATCACATTTCGCGTGTACGAGACAACTGACGATCTGTCAACAGAAGCCTATTCCGTACTGCCATATCGGCAATAAGCGGGCGTGTGCATTCGTTACTGCACCCAATTCGTCCGTTGATGTTGTCTATTAAGAGCGCTGCACTAAGATCCTCAAGGCTCTTGCGGGCGCATGCTGGGGCTGCGCGAAAGAGACGCTGGCGACCATATTCAAAGCGCTGGCCAAGACGCATCTCAGCGGCAGCAATCTGGTCTACCATAATCAGCTCGTCCAGCCTCCGCCGCCTTCAGTCGGCACAGAACGTTGCCCTCCGCACGATCACGAGCTGCTATAAAATGTCGCTTATCGATCACATTCATACAGAAGCTTCTGTCCTGCCGGTCGCCCCTCACAGCACACTCTTAGGCTAACAGTTCTGGTGGAGCCGTTCGCAACCCGGTCATCCTAATCACCATCGTTGCCACGCTCCTGAGCACAGCAGTAACGTTCGGCCGTCTATTCGAGCTCTCCACAAGAAAGCTGTCGCCTCCTCTCTCATGGATCTAC